GGAAAGGAATGGGAGTGCATGTTACAACCCCTATGAAAGGGATTTTTGTAACCTATGGTAAAATTGTATATGTATTTACTATTTTGCCAATCAATATTGCTTATAGAAATGCACCTTAAATATAGACCTCAAACATGAAACAATATACATGTAAGGGCATTATTTGTATAGCAATATGCATTGGGGCATTATTTATATGGCAAATTATTAGAAATGATGAAAAGGTCCATGTATTGGCGACTAGCTGTATATAAGCAATAATGTAGCAAAAACTGAGGTACTAACAAGTCATAAAAATCAATGAGAAAGGTGTCCGTTAACTATTTTACTGGGATTCCAGACATATACGTATTGTTAGGTGAAGTTAACAAGGTGCAAAAGAAATGATATGGTATTGACCTCTGCATGAGATAGAGGATGACAGGGGACTAGGTATGTATATATGCACTTATTCATGTACACTCATTTTTGTAAAACCAAACGCAGTATAGATAAATTAGAATCAAACAAAGATGAAAATCGTTACCTACACAGTTGGTTGAGGATGTGGTAGATGGTGTAGGTACGGGAATGAAATTTCTTTCAGAACTTTTTATATAGCTTTGAGTTGTGAACAATACATGTTTCACAAATTCAAAAATACAACTGAATTTAAGAAGTCTCAAAAAGCAACCTTAAAACTTTTTGTAATTGTAAGAATATAGTAATTTTGACAATATTAGCTAAAATATTGACTATGATAGAACAAATGAATTACACTGTTGTGTTGAGAACCAGGTTTCTCATGTGGGAGAAGGAAGAGAGTGTGAGGTAAATTTAAGAAGAACCCTATGGTGTAGGATTGAAAGGGAGATAATCAGTATGAAACAACATTTTTTTTTTTAAGGAGGCTCCATGCCCAGCGTGGAGCCCAAATGCAGGGCTTGAACTCATGACCCTGAGATCAAGAGTCGGACACTTAATGAACTGAGCCACCCAGGTGCCCCGAAACAATAATTTGTAATAATTCTATTTGCTCTGTCCCCTGAAAGGGACATCCCAGCAATAGTGAGCACATCTAGTGCCCATTTCTTGGATATTAAATACCTTGTCTCTATAAAGCAAACCTTAGAAAAGTGTCTAATTCTAGCTTTAAAACTAGTTAAGTGGTGAAATTGGAACATCTTGTGCCAGAAAGTAACAAAGTGTTCAAAAACTAATAGAGACAATTCAAAAGAACTAGGGATTGACTTGCAAAGGATCCTGCTGGCCAAACTGGGGAGTATCCAAAAGAATAAGAATAATAACTAATAATAATGATAATAATAATAGTAATAATAATAAACCCATGAAGACAAAGTTGCTCCACTCCTCCTAGGTTCTCCCTCTTACAACTAAAACTTGTCAGATGTAACATAACAGACAAGCCTGGGGAGACTTTGCAAGCATGGGAAGAAGAAGGTAACTTGAGGAACAACATGGTGGTGAGTTCCTGGTTTCTTTTTCTTTTCTTTTTTAAAGGAGGCTCTATGCTGGGCATAGAGCCCTATGGAGGGCTTGAATTCACGACCCTGAGATCAAGACCTGAGCTGAGATCAAGAGTTGGATGCTTAACCGACTGAGCCATCCAGGTGCCCCAAGTTCCTGGTTTCTATATTGCCTCTTATATATACCGGACAAGGCACTGCAGAAGCCTCGAACCCAGATCAGCTAAGAGGGGTAGACAAAAAAAAGAGGAGGCAAGCTGATCTTCCAGCTCCTGCTGGTAGACACAGGCAGCACTCCAATTCTCTTGCTGGGTAGCAGGCTGAGAGAAGGGGTTGCCAGGGTAGAGTTTATCTGAATGAATGAATGAATGAATGAATGAATGAATGAATAAAAATGGTCCAACAATATTCTGTCCACAAGAAACTTCTTCAAATTTAGTGACCTTGGTAGTTTGAAAGAAAAAAGATGGAAAAAGATGTATCATACAAATGTTAATTATAAGAAACAGGAATGATTACATTAATATCATATAAAATAAATTTCAGAGAAAACTAAATTACTAGAGACAAAGAGAGGCATTACATAATATAAAATATTGATACATGAGGAAGACATATAATCCTAACATGTCTATAACAGATAACAGAGCCTCAGCTTACATGAAGCAAAAATTAATTGAGATGAAAAAAGAAATGAACAAATACACAATTATGGCTGTGTGCTTTAACATCCCTCTCTCAGCAACTGATAGAACCACAGTCAAAATCAGCAAGGATATAGAGGACCCAAATAACAAATAACAAATAACAAAATATTTCCTTATATTAAGGAAATAAAAGCTTTTTCCTCTGCTTTCCTCCCCCACCCCCTTTCTATTTTTAAGTGTGAGTACAGCTTCATGGATTTTTTTTTTTTGTCTTTTACATCTCAGCTTTTATTATTTTCAAATCCCCATCACATCATCACATTTATTCACAGAATATTTGCTATATAAAAGCATATGGGGATCTAAATTCAGAAGACACAAGCTATGTGACTTTGGGCAAGGAACTTCTTTTTTTTTTTTTTTTTTGGCTTCGGCATCTCCTTACACTCTGGGGGATGCACCAGGTAATAGCTAAGGTTGGTTTTAGCTAGTGATTCTATGATTCTTTGACTACCGAACATGCATTGTCTGATGGCCCACACTTTATTCAGAGGAGGCTACTTGATCTCTTTGTTTAAAACAGTGTCATTACCATTTTATTTCTGAGTAATTTCCCTGAGTATGGGAAAACAAAAACATAACAAATGTTAACAGAATTGATTTTGAAACCTATCTCTTTCTTCTCTGGATTTCTCTGTATCCAGATCTCCAGTAGGACTTTATGGCTTTTAAAAGCAATTAAAAAAAAATAGGGGCACCTGGGTGGCACAGTCAGTTAAGCGTCCGACTCTTGATTTTGGCTCAGGTCATGATCTGAGAGTCGTGAAATCGAGCCCCAAGTCGAGCTCCATGATCAGCGCAATATCTGCTTGGATTCTCTCTCTCTCTCTCTGCCCCTTCCTGCCCCATTCTCTCTCTCTCTCTCTTTCTCTCTCTCTTAAATAAATAAATACATTTTTTAAAAAACACCCAAGGGCGTCTGGGTGGCTCAGTTGGTTAAGCGATTGCCTTTGGCTCAGGTCATGATCCTGGAGTCCCGGGATCGAGTCCCACATCGGGCTCCCTGCTCAGCAGGGAGTCTGCTTCTCCCTCTGACCCTCCTCCCTCTCATGCTCTCTGTCTCTCATTCTCTCTCTCGCAAATAAATAAAATCTTAAAAAAAAAAAATTAAAAAAAAAGAATCTCCAGCTAATAAAAAACAGCAAGGATGATAGACATAATAACTGATACTAGTATGGATAATAAAATGTTTCATCAAGTGAAAGGTTGGAAGGGAAGGGGTTATTCACATTGTTTCAAATTATCACCCCGACAATTATTTATTAGTTATAAGGGAGAAAGATGACCTTTACAATATAAAGATCTGGCAGACACAACCTTAACCAAGTGATTAAACTTAGCATCCCCAATAATGGGACTTTGTGTCTCCTGATGTGTTGCAGTAAGTACACAGTATGTGATATTCTTCCCAAAATGTTAGTCAGAATTGAGTAATGAAGAAACAAAGATAAAGTAAAACAAAGTACATCAATGCAATGTAGTATTATAGAACTGTTAATATATTTATGTAGTTCTGTATGTCCTAACATGGAATAATCTCCAAGGTATGTAATGAAAGAGAAGTTTTTGTACAAAAAAAATCCGAAATCCATAATGTGCAACATTCTATAAAACAACTGGCCTGGACTCCTCAAAATGCCAATATTATAAGAGATAGAAAAAGGTGGGAGGAAATTTTTAGCTTAAATGAGACTTAAGAGATCTAATAACCAAATGCAATGCACAATTCTTAATTGGATCCCAGACTGGAAAAAAGATAAAATTTTTAAGTTCTAAGGAACATTTCTGGGACAACTGGAGAAGTTTTACTGTGGAGTATATATTAAATATTAACATATCTATATTAAATCTTTGTGTATGATATGGCATTGCAGTTATGCTGGAGAAAGTCCTTTCTCTAAGGCCATAGATGCTTTAGAGATGAAATTATATATCTATAGATAGAGACAGGATATAAAGCAAATTCCCCCCAAATTAACAATTGACGAAGCAGATGAATCTATATGAAAACTATAGGACTAATCATTGTACTGTGCTCTTCTACAGGTGTGAAATTTTTCAAAATAGAAAGTTGTGTCTTAAAAAGAAGTGTCTTAGGGGGACAAAATTAAAGACTAAATGGCAAAAAAAATTAAAATT